TGTACACGAAAAACATGATGTGTTTGTGAAACACTGATGCTCCCGTATGGCAACTCATAACAAAGGTTAAACTTTCTCAAATGCAAATCAAATATGTTGGTACCCAAAGTAAGGTCTTGTCTTGAGGAATATACCTGTGAAATATGAAAACCCTAGCAGCAACCATTGAATAGATATGGAAAAAGTTAGAGTTTTTCAAAAGTAAGTCAAATATTAAGGTCAAGTTCAAATGGTCAAAATTAATGGTGCCCAAGGAAAGGCTATCTCACAAGAAATACACAAGTTAAATATGAAAGCCCTAGCACCAACCGTTCAATAGTTAAGGCTAAGGTAAAAGCTTTCCAAAAGTAGGTCAAATTCCAAGGTCAAAGGGTCAAAGTTGTTGGTATCCAAAGTAAGGTCTTGTCACAAGGATACATATGTGAAGTATGAAAGTCTTATAATTATTCAAAAGTAATGGCCAAGGTTAAAGTTTTGCAAAGTAGGTCAAACTCTAAGGTCAAGGTCAAAGGGTCAAAGTTGTTGGTATCCAAAGGAAGGCCTTGTCACAAGGATTACATATGTGAAGTATGAAAGCCCTAGCACTAACCGTTCAAGAGTTATGTCCAAGGTTAAAGTTTTGCAAAAGTAGGTCAAACTCCAAAGTCAAAGTTGTTGGTATCCGAAGGAAGGTCTTGTGACAAGAATTACACGTGAAGTATGAAAGCCCTAACACAAACAATTCAAAAGTTATGGCCAAGGTTAAGGTGTTTTCAAAAGTAGGTCAAACTTCAAGGTCAAGGTCAAAGTTGTTGGTATCCGAAGGAAGGTCTTGTCACAAGGTATACACATGCGAAGTTTGAAAGCCCTAGCACCAACTATTCAAAAGTTATGGCCAAGGTTAAAGTCTGAAAAAATTTAGCAAACGTGGGTCAAACTCCAAGGTCAAGGTCAAAAGGTCATATGTTATGGTACCCAAAGAAAGGTCTTGTCACAAGGAATACACATATGAAATATGAAAGCCATAGCTTCAACCAATCAAAAGTTATGGGCAAGGTTAAAGTTTTTGTGGACAAAAAGACAGACAGACGGACGGACAGGACAAAAACTACATGCCCCGGAATCTTCGATTACGGGGCCATAAAAAACCGACTTCTACAGTTACTGTAGTCCGATTTCGATAAAACTTGGTACTGAAAATAAGTATAATGCAAAAATCGTCATGTTTATAACCTACCCCAATAAACAAAGTTCTGGGGTATATCGGTGTATGTATCACCTTGTCTGTCTTTATGCCTGCCAAGCACACGTTTCCTAACCACAGATCAATTTTTTTTTATTGGTTGCGCCAACAAAGTTTTAAGTCCAAGTGCTACCTTTCTCTGTCTTAAAGTTCAAACCAGTAGAGCTAGTGTCACCAGAGATTTATGGTTATTTTAACAAAAAGAGCCACCCCTTATCCTAACCTTCAGGGTTTCTACTCAGTGACAGATTGGCATTGTGATATTTTGTGGTTCCATATTGAAACACCAATGGTGCTGTCCACCTACTTGCCATTCCTCACATGTACAACATAGAAGTATTCAGCAACACAAAAAATTATTTGAATATTTTATTTGTGAAGTATGAAACAATTCAAATATCAATTTTGTGCTCTTCGAAGTGTAAATACACACATAAACTATTATTGTTAATGACGAAAAATTACTCATTTCACTTGCAACTTTTGAGGTAAAATTCTTTTTTTGTCTTAAGAAAGAACACTTCAAATTAAATTCAGATCTATGTCATTTTTTAAGTCACAAGAAAAAAAAAACAATTGTGTTTCTAAAATACTGTACATGTAAAAACTTGATCAAACTCTGGGAAGTAGATTAAAATTTATGATATTTCTATTTCATGTAAAATAGGATACAACAAAGAATAAGAGAGAAGTAAACCACCACCATTATTTACAAGTAACACCAAATTCATGAGGTTCATCCTCCAACATTATGCAGAACAACTTTAACAACAATCAAGTTTTTAGCACTGAGAAATGCAAAAGTACCTATGTGAAGGAGTGTTTATGAAGACCCTTTACAATTTGATCAGTCTGGAATATCAAGATTTATTTTATCAAATTTACTTTAATTTCAAAGATAAAGAGTTGGTTAATGTTAATTGCTTTTCTGCAAACGTAAAATGAAATTGAAAAGAAAGAACTGTAGTTCTACTGAACAATATCCTGATATTAAACTGAGGGTCTCTAATAAATGAGGTAAATGCAATTGATTTTGTTATAAATAATGACTAGGCTTCCTACTGAATAATCAAAACAATACCTCTACAATCAGAATAAAAATAATGTACTTCCACAACAAAAGGTTTTTGTTCATGCAACAGGCTTAAGCAGAAACAAAAGCATACTTAAACTTTATCAAATATGACACACAACAAAGCACTTGTATAATTATTAAGCACTGAAAATGAAAGTAAGCATTTGCAGCATATCAGTCACCTTTGGTCACATGGTAAAACACTCCGAACATGGCTTTAGTTTTGGAATTTAGCATGCCAAATTTCAAGGTTAGCAGAATGACCACACACACACACATGAGAAATGGGTCTGCTGGGATCATTTGGAGCATATTATGATTGGGATACATTTCTAAAATATGTTCAATATTATTTATCATAAAATCATCTGCCATACCCTAAACACATGTAAATGCCATTACCTGAAGGTCAAAGAATAACTTGTGTCTCATAAAGTGTCTAGGTTTTCACATTAAGAAAAATCTGTATATAATTCTTATAAAGAAAAAAAGAGACCCAAAGGCCACAATGCTAACCTGAGTAACTATGGCTCTCCTTGTTTATCAACAAATTTTCCTATATATTCCCATGTAAAACTTGATCATCCATTGTGGCCCCACCCTATCCTACGTTTGAACAAACTTGAATCTTCACTATCTCAGGATGCTTCTTTATAAATATGACTACTCCTGACTTTTGCTGTTCCTGGGAAAAAATTTTTTTAAAGATTTTTTTCTATGTATTCCTATGTAAAGCTTTGATTGCCCATTGTGGTGCAATCCTACCTCCTGGGCCATGATTTGAAAAAAAGGAAAAAAAACTTGAATATACATTAACAGTGGATGCTTCCATATAAATATGACTGATCATGGCATTGCTGTTCTTGAGGAGGACATTTTTTCTATATATATCCATGTAAAACTTTGATACTCCACAGTGGACCCATCCTACCCTTGGGGGTCATGATTTGAATAAACTTGAATCTACACTATGTCAGGAAGCTTTCACATAAATTTCTTTTCTGGCCCAGTGGTTCTTGAGAAGAAGAATTTTCAATGACCCCACCCAATATTTACTTTTTCTTAATTATTCTCCTGGACAAGGGTGTGGCTCTTCATTTGAATAAATTTGAATCCCCTTAACCCAAAGATACTCTGTGTCAAGTATGGTTGAATTGGCCCAATGATTCTGGAGAAGATATGTAAAAAGTTTGCTATGACAACAGAAAATTTTCATCAGAAAAGCTCACATGAGCCTTTGGCTCAGGTGAGCTAACAATATAGCAATTGCTGGATTACTCACTAAATATAGAAATCAATAAAATAGGACTGAATCTCTACAAATGCTTAATCTAATTCACACTTATATAAGACGGGGTATACATGAAAAAACTATGGATGACTTGAAAACACAGAATAACATGTACCCTGGATAATATATTAACCAACTGCAACTGGAACCTTTTTATTCTTCACACACATACTCAGGCATTTTAGGGAATGTAAATATGAAATCATTGTGAGTCACAGCTAACTGGGCTGTAAAAAAAATTCTCATTGTGGCAAACCTGTTGACCTTTAACCTCTTTACATGGTCATGACTTGAATAGGCCAGGCTACATATTTCCCTTAAGCATAATTCAAAAATTCAAGGTCAAGATCAAAAGTAAATACACTGGCAAAAAGACTAAAGAAAAAATTGGCCATTAGGATTAGGAGCTAATACAAACATCTGGAAAAAAAATAGACAAAAAATATAAAAATAAAATGTTTGGCATTCAGCTTTACAAATGTAATTTAGCATAAAATACCCTTCCATTATACAGTCAAATAAGGGGAAATTAAAATATAGATAGAACAAAAAATATACATGTACATGTAAAATTGATAATCAAATGACTTGCTCTGTTAAAATGACACCTAAATACTGAGGGCAGACTACCCCACAATAAAACTTTAATAAAATTTACGCTGCCATTCTTCAGAAGTTTACTTTTTTACAACTGTACATGCATGCATGTATAAATTAATCATGGAATAAATAAATCTTTGTGATTACATGATGGAGATCTACATTGATACCAACAGGATAACAAAGTTTTGTAGATGGAAAACAACTCTTGTAGTTCAATTTTACATTTTCAGTTTATATTTTTTGTGTAAAAACTACATTCTGCCAAGTTTATTAAAGACCAATTCTTGATAAGCTTTCTATGATTATTTTTGTGATAAATACGAATGCAGACTTACAAACCCTAAGAAATAAATGCTCTTGTTACATCAAAAATACATAATCCAAGTACATACAAAATATATATGAGATTCCATCATCTAACATCATTTATTTAGTGAAATTAAAATAAACACTTTTTCTAAAATAGTTCACAATGCTTCAATAATCAAACACAAGGAAAATGTGGAAATCTATTTTTACCATATTTACACCTCAACTCAATCTCCCTTGGAATTACTCTTTAAAAAGAATATTACTTGTATATAGCACTATGTTGGTTCATTTTCTTGCATTATCATTTTTTTTAATACAGCATAAACTTAATGTAAAATGCAATTCAATCTTCGTATAAAAAAAAATGTGTACAAAAAAAATTGGATTGGATGCCCCCACCCCTCCCCCCCCAAAAAAAATATTACACACAAAGAAAAATCACCTGACAATTTGGCACCACATACCTAAAGCAACTAAAAGCAAAAAAAACAAAAAAATAAAAAAAAAAACAAAAAGCTCCTACATTCATTTTAAATGAAAATATTACATCATAATATGCATGAGTAATACTTAAGAACACAGAACAATTTTATACCAAAAAATATAGCAGCACATCAGTTCTGGACACAAATAAATGCATGTGCTCAATGGCTGAATATGCAAATGAACCCTTTTTTTAAAATCTTTTTTCCTGATGATACATGCACATGTTAATGCAAAAAATCCTTTAACAAACTAAGCACAAATTCAAATAAAATCAAACCATAATTCTATAGATGATAAAAACAATGTCATAAATTCTTAACAATTAATTTACAACTCCTTCCTTCAGCAGCAGTGTCCGACTGATAATTCCTATGTACTCAGTAAACATCATAATAAGCTGCCAAATAATGCATGTTTATTGACAAGTGATTATGGATTTGATAAAAAAAAAAAAATTGTGTGCAAAGGCTGAAAATAACTCTAAATTCATCTTCTGCAAACACTACAAATTGTACACTTAATACCGCACTGAACACAAATACAGTCATGTTTTAATCAAATCATTATGCAACTGATACAAAATAAATATAGATCAGGGCCTTATTAATAATCAAAACATCACAGAAAATCAAAAATATGTTTCCTAGCTCCTTCACAGATATCTAAAGTCTGAGAAATCATACTTAACAATGTAAAGGTTATTCCTAACTAACAACTTCTGGCAACTAATACCATTAACAAAGTATGCATCCACTAATTAAAAGCCAAAACAATGTAAAAAATATTTTTAAAAGCAAAAGTTGTAAAATTATTTTTAAAAACTGGATTTAAAAATAAAGCACTAAAAAGATTTTCAACAATGAATCACAGGTATATTTAAAAGAAGAAAACAGTCAAATAATCCATAATAGTCCATTGATAATTTGCAAAATAATACACCAAAATCTTGCATTGAAATACACTCATACTTTTGAGGTTGAGCAAAGACTTTTTCCGTTCTTCTTTTTGAACTTGTTACCATTTCTAATGAAGACATTTACACTTTTGGATCATTAGGGTCATAGTTTGGTATAACAGTACTGAAGTTTGGATTTGAAATAATTCCATCATCAGGCTCATTGATGTCAAAGGTTGGCACTTTATGTGCTGGTCCCCATGCAGGGGTTGGCTTCAATAGAAGCCTCACTCTCTGAAAATAAATGGGTTAAGAATATTACATGTAGTAGAAGCACATAAGCAATAAAGATTCTTTTACATGAATACAAATTTACAGATCTAAAATCAGATTTCATGAAACTACCTCCAAAATAGACTTATCCTTGGGTGCCTTTAGAATTTTAGTAATTGCAATGGTTGTGATGAAGATGATTGGAACCAATGAAAGAATCCATCCAATCCCATTGGACCACATGGGGTATATATAATCTCCAAACTCCAAAGGTTTGTACTGGATCAAGTTGAACAGAAATACGAACTGAAAATATAATTAAAAATTATGCAATATATTAATGAAAGATAAATTATGACATTGCATTTCTCATGGGGACATTTTGCAGATTTTTTGTCCCCTCAGTGGTCGGGGTGCAGTATATACACAGAATGAAAAAATATGCCCCACCCCCTTTTATTTTTCACTTCAGAACTTAGTAAGACAAATGTTCTCTTGGGATGTTTTTAAATATATTTTTTAAATTTTTATATGCATACTATAATTTCTTCTCGTTTTCTTCCAGACGTTGTGTTTAAGTTGTGTATGCACAATAATACCAAGAGTCTTCTCTAAAACTTTTCAAACTTACTGGCCAGTAGGACCACTGAACTTTCTAAATTTACTGGCCCACCAAAAATTTTACTGACCCCTTTAATTTAAAAAAATGAATACATGATTATAAATTAACATGTCAACTTTAGAAATGATGCGATTTTTCGCCCCTTGTCATGTTTCAGTAAGTTGTTTGTAGGATATTTGCGCTTTTTACGTACTAGTTAATAGTTACTTCCCTTTTTATTGGTTGTTACGTCCAGGGTTAGTATATATACCATATGTCCCTGTTACGTATAATACGATACACCAACACATTCTTGTTCTTTTTATTTAATACATTAATAAAATTAATGCAAGCAAGACAGTTTATATTTATACTGTGTATAACTGAGAATCTACAAGCCTATCGGACTTCTTGAATTTCGATTTTCACCGACTCGACATCAAAATTCACTGGCCTCGGTCTTTGGACCACTGAGTTTTCGTGAAGACTATACCCATGTAAAAACACGATACTTTGCCAGTCTTAAAATACAGAACCTAAGTTATTTAATTGGATAAAGCCAATGAGAATTAGGGCCAAGTGAGTTACAATATTGCACAACACCAGATTGGTTCATTACAGCTAGGTGCTTACAAAATAGAAATATAGTTTATATTTCAAAATATTTTACATACTCCTAGAGTCATGGGTGACAGGAATTTCCAGAAGAGTTTAAAGAATCTGTGGAAATGTGGTCCTCGGACTCCAATCATCATCTCTATATCTTGAATGAATCTATCTCCACCTTATTAAAAATAGAAAAGAGAATTAATCAATCTCTTTTCAATTACATTATTTCAGTTCCAATTTTCAACAACAAACTTTCATCATAAATAACACCTTTAGACAATAAAATAAGAGATACACAAAAGGTAAATGCTTCATACTAGCAAATATTCCTCCCTTGTCAACACCCATCTCCACTTTTAATTACATATTTTTAACAGTTTTTTTCTTTAACCTTACCATAAATCCAGCCAATCATTGCACTCTCCAATCCTGCCATTAAGAAGACTGACCAACTAGACACGTAGTTGTCCATCAACTGTAGAATGTACATGCCTCCCTGCCAAAAAAACACATTAACTACCTCAGACTCATAGCCATTTACTTTGCAAGAGTTCTCTCACATTGCCTGCCATTTACAATTCCTGTCTTCAAACTATTTCACCTATAACATTTTGTATATTTCACACTTACATTACAAGTTACAGACAGGCCACCCAGGAATCCAATGCAGCACACCACTGCTACAACATAAGTTTTCTTGGCTCTCAGTTGTGGGAAGGTGTCTTGTACAGCTGTCATCATTGTCTCCAGCAAGGCAAACTGAAACCAACATACATGGTACTTATTTTTAAAATGTAAAATACTTGATTACACTTCTTAAACTAAAAGTAGAATTCTTAATAATGTCATAATATATCTGAATTGTTTTCCAGTTTGTTATCATTGCAGCTCACCTCACTTCCCATACCCAGTGTGATCATCATGATAAAGAACAGAATAGACCACAGTGGTGATATAGGTAACCTGGTGACCACATCAGGATAGACTATGAATGCCAAACCAGCACCTACATAATATCAAGATTTATTTTGTAAAATTGAAACAAAGAAGCAAACATGCTGATTTTTATTTCAACTAAGAAAGTGATTTTAACAATATAAAATTCTCTTAGTTGCCTTGAAATTTATCTTCTTTTTTATACTACAGAAAAACACATACTACGAGGGATGTGTACTTGGTAAATGTCAATTCTTAAATACCTGATTAACTTTCTACAGTGAAATAGGACTACTACTAGTCCTACCTTGATCTACGACTTTGTCAATAGGCATCTGAAGCTCATGGGCCAGGTAGCCAATAATGGAAAAGATCACAAAACCAGCAAATATACTGGTGCAGATGTTTCCAATACCAACAATCAGAGAATCCCTGTCAACAGACAATGAATACATATATCACTGTACTTGGAGATGTGTTACAAGGAACATGACAAAATCAGAATACAGCAAGTTAGTGGGCTACTTTGCTCAAACAAATCAAACACAGATACAGTTGAACTTCCATATCTCGAACACTGATATCTCGAATGCCATGGATATGCTGAAAAATTTGGAAGTCCCAACCACATATTCTTACCCTCGATGTCTTGAATCCTTGGATATCTTGAAGTTTTTTTTCTCTATCCCATGGAGTTCGAAGTAACAAGTTTTGACTGTATATGGATATATGGAGTTGGATACTTGGGTAGTTCTATGTATAACTTACTTGAAGCAGTTGTTGTGAAACTGATTGTAACTGGACAGTGTTATAAGTCCACCCCAGGCAGGGCTGAGGGCAAAGAAGATCTGAGCTGCAGCATCTGACCACACCTTACATATAGTGAAAACAAATCAATCAGAGGAAATGAAAAGATCAAGACTGTCAATAATTAAAAAGTTTGAAAGCCTAATTAGTGTTTATTATCCAACAATCACTAAGATTCTACCTTGGCCTCTCCCAGTTTGTCAAATCTAGGTGTAAGGTAGTAGATGATGCCATCTGCAGCTCCAGGTAATGTAACTCCACGGAAAAACAGAATAAACAGCACAACATATGGGAACAGGGCAGTGAAGTATACAACCTGTCAAAACAGACATTATAGTTTCTCCAATTCAATTCAAGAGAATATGACATTCTTGTCATAAACCCAAAAATTCAATCTAACCTTAAACATGCAAAATTGGTGCAAAAGGTCATTCATAACAAGCAAATTCAAAGAACTGTGGTCCCCTGCTTTTGGTTCTTATGTCAGATTGGGTTGCATTTATTATAGCATATTGTAACTGTTTTGTCTGTCTGTCAGGTCTTGTCTGTCCTTAATTCAAAAAGATTTTAGTTTCGAATTAACAAGGACACCGCAAAGTGGAGCATCCAATCGCAAAAGAGCATATTGATCCCAATATGAATTATTATTTACATAATTCTGCACTCACTCCCCTTGTTCAATTTTATTTATATGATTGGCGTACCAGAGGTGTTTACCCTATTTTGCAGTTGTCAGTAATCTGTAATTTTCTGTCCGTAATTTGAGCTTTTCATGTTTTTAACGTTTGCAATACCTTGTCTGAATTTTCGAATATACATTTGATGTTTTTCAGATAAGAATGATTTTTAATTGTTACATTAATATCCTTTTGTCATCATGTATCATGCATTAAATGACAATCCAAATACAAATCTGATGTAATTCAGGTCATTAAAGGAATCCCATTCATTGATAAAATAGCAAAATTAAAAATTCTAAGAATAACCCATAAAGTATTATCCTATCACATAATATACATTTCTACAATAATCTTTTTTTTTTCTTTATGATTTGGCTATTTCAATGATTGGTAGGAACAATTAAATACCTTTCCAGTAGATTTGACACCTTTACTGAGTGCTGCAAAAGTCATTAACCATGCACAAAGCAAGCACAAAGTGATTTTCCATTGAGGAATTCCAATGTCCTCAATACCACCAGACTGAGATAGTACACCACGTCTGAAAGCATAGTAAACATAACATTCTGTATTCTGACATCAAATGTGACTCAAAATAATCTTATTTTTCTGTAATTAACATGATTGAACTTTCACAAGAAAATTTTCAATAAATTTAAAGAAAAATTTTATACAAACTTCAGACCTACTGTTTACAAATAATTCTTTTTGAAGAAAGGGTATAAAAAATCTTATCACCAAATAAAGTGATATCATACAACATACAGACAGGCAAGTGCTACTCTTACTTTGTTACATAAGCATCAATAAAATCAGATGCCTTCAGCTTTTCCATCATCAACTTTCCTTATTACCATTATTACCTGCATTTTGTATTTATGTCTCCAAACTTGTTTGATATGCAAGAGCATGCTCCGAGTATGATCAATGTTTAAGCAGGTTACTGACAAATAAGTTGCTGTTACAGGGATTTCAACAACATTGTTTAAATGTCAGCATTTGAAAATTTTGTGGTTGTTATAATGACCTTGTTTGCACATACATCCTATCTTAAGGTCATATTATTTTGACTTGTTTCACACCAAAGTTACAGGGATTTTTTTACCCCTTGATTCCAGGGGCAGGGGCCGTCAAGATTGGGAAAAATAGCGATATTTGGTTGAAATTGGGAAAAATATCTTCATACAAATAAATAGGAAAAAACAAAAGTCAAATATTTAATCATTCTTCTTATTTTTTATAGTATGAAGCTGGCTTAAACCAGCTTTAGTGATATGAAATAATAGCGGCTGTTGAAGCTCAGAAGCTAAAAAATGGCAAAGCCGCAGGGTATGATAACATTGTAAATGAACATATTTATACGTTGTCATCTTTTTTACCTTTATGTAAGAAGTTCTTTAAAATAACATTTGATAGTGGGTTTGTTCCAAATGAGTGGTTAATCGGTATTGTTTGACCAATTTATAAGAATAAGAGCGATTCAACCCAGCCTGAAAATTACCGTCCTAGGCAAACTGGAGAGACTGACATGATGAACGTTTATTTTTTAGATAACGATCCCGACTTTAATTTTTAAACATCGATCCCGCTTTAAAAAGTATGCATGCAAACATCCACAGTATTCCGAATAACTTCTCGGAAGTCCTCGGATGGCTCGTAGATCGCACATAGAGAACATAAACACCTTTTTGTCATTGTTTTATTTAATAATTTACAACTTAAAACTTTTTTTTTCATATTGGGAATTTTCAGGTATGATTTTGGGAAAAACATGCACTTTTCAGCATTGGGAATGGGGCCGAATTTCGGCCCCGGAGAGACCCTAAAAAAATCCCTGAGTTAGGCCTTTGTTTTTAGATTAAATTAGACTACGGATTATTCCGTCATCCTGATCAATAAATAAATAAATAAATAAATAAAAAAATAAGCGCTCATGGCGGGTGTGACCCATCAACAGGGGATACTTACTCCTCCTAGGAGTCTGATCCCAAATCTGGAATTTCCAGATGCCCATGTTTTATGCCCTGTTCACAAATATGTATTGTTTGAACAATTTTTGAGTTCAGTCACTGTTCACTATCTTCACCTTTTTCATAAAAATAAGAAAGCACAAACAGTAACTTTGTTTTTCAAAGTAAAACTTAACTGTTAAATGAATCATTTCTCAATTCACTTAGACAAAATTTTGTTTAGGGAATATATATTTACACACACATACACACAAGAGAACTCACTCAAAGAAGTCCTGAGCAGGGGCATGCTTTGTGACATTGCTAGCCAGCATACTGAGATTCCGCTCCATGGCTACTGTGGCATTGTAGCAAACTTGTTTATAGTAAACTTGACCTGGAACTTCATGGCATATATCAGCATCCTTGTAGGAATAGCAATCTGAGAATAGAGTATGTATATAATCATACAATTCTACAATAATAATTCTGTAATAATTCTACAATAACATTTAGAAACTGAAAACGATGATCCCATAGTATATATATATGCTGATATGAATTATCTTGCACTTATTTAACTTAGTCCAGGGATTTATCAGCCTATTTTGGGAAATGCCATTTTTGGGGAATTGGGAAAAAATTATCAGCTATTTGATGAAATTGGGAAAAATTAAAACTGTTGCTTAAATCATGTATTCAGGAGTAATTTATTTAACATTTCAGCATGAACTCTTACTTGGGAATATAGACAGCCAATTAAATATGATCCAACTTCATCATACAAGATCAATTATGAATATAGACTAATAAAAGTAAAATTGACTTCAATGAGTGTAAAGTATTTATACAACTTAGGGCAGTACATGTGTGTATGAAATTCCAATTTAGGTCATTATAGAATCTGTTTCTGGAGATTATAAACCTCCTGCAAAAAATTATGCCAAGTACACATGCATTTTCTCAGAGTCCTCTTTTATAAATATGTAATAATGCATTGAAAATAAATTTTTCTATCTGAAATAATGCATACAGTCCTAATCATTCACTCGTAGATCAATTGAGTAGATGGAAATAACTTAATAAATCTATATAATTACACAAAATGGCCATTTTCAGAAAAACAGAGGAAATTCGGATTAGAAGTTGGCAATGTTTTTACAGTGTTTTTAAACATGTGTTAGGACTGTAGCTTTGCTAAATGAGTTAAATAGATGGAAAATACAGACAATCTGACAATTTTTACATTGTGTTTTCCCAAGATAATTAAATATAAAAGCATTGTTCACCAATTGGGAAAAAATACTGCCAACTTGGGAAAAACTGAACTCATTTTCAATTGGGAATGGGGCCGAATTTCGGCCCCTGAGAAGGTATTGATCAATCCCTGTAGTCACCTAAAATCCATGTCTTGTTTTTAACCATTATCCACATATACTTAGCTAATACATGTCCAACAAGTATTCATTACTAATTCATCATTTGAGGAAGATGTTGTTAATATTGTATATAATACAAATATTGTTTAATATCAAACTAGGCTTTATCTCTGGCTAATAGGTAATGGTATATTTCACTGTGTAACCTACGTTCTGTAGCCCATTCAGGGTGGCACTTTTCCCAAGGCAGTTCACTTGTAAAGGACGTGAAGAGATACAGAATACACCAGCCGATGATGACTGTGTAGTATAAGGAAACTATTCCCGATACACTGATCATTCCATAACCAAGGCCTGTAAAGAAAGAATGCCATCTAGATGTCTTCAAATCATGCTTAAAACATTGCAACATAAAACAGTTAGAGAAACATTGTGGCACATGTATTTGGTATCAAAAATTAACTTGTGTCAGACAGATTATATCATTTAGAATGATAATCTATGTGTGTATTTTTTAAATTTACCATGAAACAGTGGGCAGAGTCTGTCAAACACAACAGAAGGACCTAGAGCAGCATACTGTCCTAGGGCCAACTCCAGAAACATAAGAGGGATTCCCAGCAGTAGTAACATCAGCACAAAAGGAAACACAAATGCCCCTGTAAACAGAACAATCATTTTAATTATACAATTGCTGATGCCAAACACTGTTCATAAATAACTTACTTAATTTTCTAAGGGGAAAAAGTAAACCTCAATAGGCTAAAAAAAAATATATGTGTATCTCCGGTAACCCGGCCCTAATTTTTACCAACCCACCCTACCACTTTTCATTCCAAATCTGGATTATGAACGGTACTTTTGTTCAGTACAGTTTTCTCATGCTACAGTCAATAAAACGTATGTTTCAGACACCGTAAAAACATGTTAATTCACGTTTTAAAGAGTACACTTGTTTGTTGTGTATATGCATAAATGTGTATGTATATATCACAAAAAAACAGTGTATTGAATAATTAACTAATGCTTTCAAAATAAATAGTAAAGTTAAAAAAAAGGTTTTGCCTACCCAGGGTTGTCCCTAGGAATTGAAAAGTCTCCGGATACAATCAAAGTTGACCCTTTGACCTTGACCTAGGAGTTTGACTAACTTTTGAAAAACTTTAAATTAAAATTGCAGAAGAGGGTCTGAGGTTCCTCCCCTAACAGGGGTTTGGGGTGGAATACTCCAATAACCGGGGGATTAAACCATTGTAGGGGGAAATTCCCCGGTCCCGTGTCTTAGGGACAATTCTTCCTACCTAATTTTTTTTGGCATGTCACCGGAAATAAACATATTTTTTTTTTATTTGGCCTTATCTAAACGGGCTGTTAAAAAACTAGTTCTGCAAGATCAGAATCATTGTATCTATGACAGTGAATGTATTGTAACACCATCAAAAAGGCTAGTTTTACTTAGTGCATGCATAGTCAATTGCTTTTACCCACTGAAGTAGAATTAAATTTATTAAATCATTATCACCATGGATTTGTAGAATACATATGTGGAATAAGCTACCGGTAATTACAATGAATTAAAAGGTGTACATCTTTTCTGAATATTATTTAAAGAATAATCCAAAAAGGACATGGGTATCAAAAACAAGGGTATAAAAATACTCTGCAAGTACAATCTACATAAATCTATATATAGTTTCCCATCCTAGGCATCAGGCATAAAACAGCTTTATATCATGATGTATTATCCCTTCCCTACCATCTCCCCCCCCCCCCCCCCCCCCCAAAAAAATATATATATAATGCAGAATGAGAATATAAATGTTTCATTCAACTACATACACCACTGTATCTTCAAATATCAGTCATTACCTATTTTGAGACTGGCAAAATGCTCTTTATAGAAGAGATAAGATAAATTTTCCCACATATAACTGACTTGGACAATTAATGTGTTTCTTTTTTTCCAATGCTCTAGATCTGCTGAACAAAATTTGGGCCTTAGATTTTTCTCTGAATTCTCATATATGGTTCAAGTATGCAGTACTAATCCTCAAAACGACTTTCCCACTTTTTCTTTTTAATTCGTTTTAATGCTTCTTAAGAGTTAATCTATCTCTACTTGTTTACCTGATTAATCCTTCAAAGGTTTATCTGATTTCAATTCAAAACAGACTTCATAATCAGGGCAAAAGTTCAAAACATTTTTCTTCTTGTTAACATATCTAACTAGTTTGTTATTGCCAACAACAGCTGTTATTAATAACTAAAGTAACACACACTCAATACTTTATATCAATAAAACACTTCTGAACAAGCTTGTTCAAAGCTTATAAACCTACTCTTTAACACCAGTATTGAACAACATGGAAAATTTATAGTAGACATTTTCTATCATCCCTATCTGAAAGATGTTTTATATAATTGTTTTATATAATTATATGATCAAATTCCCATTGCTCCACATGTGCTTCTCTTATAATAACAGTATTTGGAATCAATAAAGAAATTATGAAATATTTATTTATCTGATTGCAATGAAATTTCACACACATGTAACCAATCCAAGTTAAAACTGATAAATAAATTTCAAGCTTCACACAGATTTTTTTATTTATTTAAGATAATGCATCTGTAAATGATGCTGCTCTATAACACAATACAAGTTTTTGTTACCTCCTCCATTGCTGTAAGCCAGATAGGGAAACCTCCAAACATTTCCTAGCCCTACAGAGTACCCCAGGAGGGACATGAGGAAATCAAACCGTCCTGACCAGTTACCACGGTCCTCCAGCTCTTTGACCTCACCCACAAGGTCATCATCCAGTGGTGTAAGGACTGCAGTACTGGAAACATCCTGGACCAACTGTTCATTAGGGTTCTATAAAACAATAAAGGTCATTTATTTAAACAGACACCAGTATGATGCTTCAGCTGTTTCTGTAAATTACTGCAATGTATTTTTTTCATACAATACAGCTGTATTATTAAATGCATTATTCCTGGGGGGAAGAGGAATGCCATTATAATTTATCTGATTAGAGGTAAACTACTTATTTCTGGATAATATCATTTTCCCCCAAACAAATCAGTAACAAAATCTACAACAAAACTTTGTTCATTACATTGGGGAATTCAATATTTCAGTTATATTTACCTGCTAGATCAGAATCATTTTATCTATGACAATGAATGTATTGTAACACCATCAAAAAACAAGGCACAATAAACTATTTCATCAAAAAACCTGATTCTATCAAAGATTATACAGCTGACTTCCTTGTGCAATACTTGATTTTTAACCTGCATGTTATAGCATTTTTTTTTTTAAAAATATAGTTCAATACATGTATTTTCTTCCCCTTCTTTCAAAAAAGGGTGTTTGTTTTTGATGCATGAGTGTGTGTTCAGGGGGGGAGGGTAGGGTTGGTAAAGCTTACCACATCATCCTCCAATTCCCTCTCAGGGTATTCCTGTTTATAATATGCCACACCCCATTTATTTTTCTTCCCCGAAGCCATCTCGCTCTCATCATGGTATTTTTCTGTTCCTCTCTGAAAAAGATACAGAAATTGAAATCATGAATTTTGGGGGGGGGGGGGGGGGGGAGGGAATCAGAATGAGGAAAAATATAATGCTAAAATATCAGTACTGTAATATTACCAAGGATTTAAAAACACCATCCTTTCTATAACATGCTGGTGTGACATTTAATGAGAGTTCTTTTAGATTTTAGATTTATTTCTCTGGACATTTCTTCAAAAAAAAATTGTTCTTGATTCTCAGTTATTCATTTTCTTAAGGTTTTCTTCCTCAATTTGATTCTCTCATAAATATTTGAAATAAAAAAATGCATTTAGAATTAATGACAGATCAGAAAAATGTTAAACACTGTTCGTAGTAGCATGTGTACTTCAAAAATGTTCCATTGTTCTGTACAAGGTTAGTATTGTTGACATTTGTATCAAATGGGCACATTTCCAATTAAAGGAATTTCTTATAAATCCCTAAGTTGGTCTGATTCAAGTTTGCTGGTTTAAAGTAAAGCTGATAAATAACAAAGTTTTGGATTAAAATTTTGTTGAAAATTCATTAATTATTTAACTACTACATGTCCAAACTAAGTCATATTCAGAAATAAGGTTGATATATGTCATCTAATATTAACTATTTTAAACTGTCAGTATTTGCCAAATCATCACAAGGACCCCCACTGCAGTGTATTACATGGATCATCTAATTAGCATTTTACATTAAAAAAAAAATCCATAAATTTTATGATGCAACACTAATGTATTAAGCATTATGGGGCAACACATTTACTCCAAAAAAGAAAAGTTCTGACATTTTCTTTAAATATAAAAATAAATATCCAACGTTTCCATAAACTGAAGTAAATCATCTCACACCTTTTTAATGTTATCACTGTAATAATAAAAATATTGATTTCCTCCTGTATGTGAAATGTAAGATTTATCCCTCCTTTCTCACCTGCTCATCTTTGGACGATTCCATAAGAGGTACATTGGCTGCTATATCGGGAATACTACGATTGTTTTCATTGGGAAAGCGACTCAGATTCCCTGCTTGTATTTTACCTTCACTTTTGGATCGTTTTTCTTTTGTGTCACTCATTTTTTTCTCTTGTGAAATGTTAATTGTGTTGACCTCTTAATTACACTAACACAATACAATAACTTTTTCACAGCTGAAAGTCAAATCTAATCAGTAACAGCTGTTACACCTTTGAATAATACAATCCGTTTGTTTATTATTGTTCTGTTCACGTCAAAACATACGCAAGACGGTTTTATCTATTGCGTTATTTTTTAAGTCTGCTAAATATAAGTATCACAGCTAATATGGTTAAGAGCCAAAATTCCTTTTATTACAGCAAGGTACAATCTTGGTTTCAATATCTCACAAGTCCAGACTATTGAGTACGTATAGACATAAGCATAAATATTTAATTCAAGAATCTTGGCAAAAATTCTGATATCCTTAATTCAACACAGTGACAATGTAAAATAACTTAATCAGCCAATATGTAAGGATTGTCTTCTTCGTAATCCAATTAGAATCTTTATTAAGTTAAGCTTATTTAATTTAAAATCACATGTAAATCAGGAACCTTTTTTTCATTTTTTAGGTATGTCTCCTTGGAAGTCCTGACTCAAGTCTGTTAACACAAGTCTTAATCCCAAAGTATATATGTCACCTTAAAAACTGACCTCACATGGGTGGGACAAAAGCTTTCAGCCAGAAAAATAATTCATGAGTGAGTACTAAAAAAGGTGAATGAACATACACTACAACTTGGGTCAGTTCATGCACAGAAGTATGAACTGATCCAGTCACAACAAAGGTGGCTAAGTTGTCTAAGACTGCCACAAAATTTTAGCATGCAAGTGTGTGCATTACACTAATCCTACATTTTATAAATTGTATGGTGTCAAATATTTCTGTGTTCCAATAAAAGGCCCCCAAAACAAACACACAGGGTCAATATTTCTGCCATTTAAATGTATTGTGTTTGTGATTTTCAAGCCTTTCATATAAAAAAATTGAGAGCCCTAAGAAGGATTAATCTGAAAGTAGTGGTCAGAAAACGAAGGCTTTATGTCGTAACATGTTACCAACACAATAGCATTCTGACCCCGAACAAATTCCCATTCAAAAGTTGAAAAACTACCTTTAATGTTTCTTAATTTCAATGCAACATCCGGTAAAAACCAAATCTTTTTTTCTAGCATTGATCTTTTTTTTTTTTTTTTTAACATTGATTTCTTTTTATACATTGTATAAGCAGTATGAAATCTGAAAAATCAAGACTTTGTCTACAGAATCTTTCATTCAATTTAAAATTTTACTGCATGTTAAAATTGATGCACAAGCTGCCAAACCTATCAATCATAGATTTGACTACTGCAAGGCTATTACAATTTTCCCATTAATCATACACAGTTACTTATTTCATTATTTTTGAATACTAAATAATATACAAATGTAAGCTTTCAATAAAAAAAAAAATTGGACTGAAAAGGTAGAATGTAGTGTGTTCATGGTCTTCACAATATTCTAGGGGTAAAATGATATACCTCATTCATGATATGATACATATTGTATCATTTTATCACAATGTGTTTATTTTCAATATGTTTTGATAGAAGGGAACAAAATTCAAATCTATTTTATTTTGTTTCACTAAAACAGGTAACTTGTATGTGCAAATTGACTAGTATACAGGTATTATATAGTTATTTAATGTCTGATCAGTCAATAGACCAGAATATTTTCCCAAGGTGCTGGGTACAGCTCAATGTGTTTATTGCCTGAGGCCAACGGCCGAGGGCAATAGAACACATTGAGTTGTTCTCAGCACCAACGGAAAAATACTCTGGTCTATTGACTGTTCAGACATTAAATAACTGTTTTATTACCTAATATTACACTGTGTATGTGGATACTGCTGGTCCAACAGATCCCAGGTCCGAAATTTGCAAACTATTGACCAGCGGTCAATAAATCATCTTAAGTTTCTTAAATAATTCAGAGGATTGAACATATAGAGAAGATTAGTGATGGGACATCGGTTAATTTTCATAATCAATCATCGGTTGGAATCGGTTACTGCTTCCGATGCGATTTTATCGATTATAATCGGATGTCATAGTTTTGTATATAAAAAGCAGACTATTTAATTATTTCATATTATTTCTGTAACATGAATATATAAAATATATATAATATATTATTTTCTTTGTTGTTTTGCTTCTTTTACACTTTCTATATATATGCACCTTTCCGTTCTTAATCACCTCTGCTTCGTGCTAGTTGGTTAGTATCAGATGCAGACGCCATTTTCTTTCATTAAGAAGAAATAAATTTTAACCAGAAATGGATAATTCCGGAATGTATTGTATTAGAAGTATGTTTCTGATGATTGATTATGAAAAATTATAATCGATCATCGGAATCGGTAGCATTTTTTCGTTGACAATCAATGTTTTCTGATTATCGGTACAACACTAGAGAAGATAGTCATATATACTATGTAAGTAATAAAACAGTAAAATAAGTTGAATTACGAAATTAAAAAAATTAATTAGAATCACTTATCTGTTAATTATTATTCTACAAGCTATCAGTCCTTGGAAATTTTGTTTATAAAATTTAATCATGCTGTGTAGTGTGTTTTTATGAATGCCAAATCTGACTGAATAACAATTCCTGCCAAAAAATGAACCGAACTGAAAATGGAGATTTTGTACCATGTATCAAACATACAGAAAAATACCACAATGAATCCTCTGAACTCCTACAATCCAATCCAATGAACTCCTACAATATTCATAATTTGCAAACAACTGCCTTCTGACTTCATATCATGTTTGTAACTTTTGATGATTCTGCAGAATACCCAAAATATCCATGTACTTATTTTCTTTACCTACATGTACTGCCTGTCATTAACTTTTGACTGTAATATATACAGGTAAATGACACTCACATGGCCTTCTTCAATTCAGGGACTAATTTATTTGAGGGGAGACAGTGAAAATTGACAGCAGAGCTGGTGAAGCACCTCTGGGTGGGACAGAATCTGTCAGGACAGATAAATGAAGCTTACCACAGGAAATGTATCAAATTCTGCAACCTCCTCTAACACTCCACATAAACATCTATCCTGAACGCCAATATTTCACAAACTTAGCAATATAGCATCTGTGAATTTCTGGGCCACTTCAATAGTTTTAATCAGAGACAACTTTATAATAAGCTGTTATTAAGTATTATAAAATCTTGTTAAGCATATTCTATTCAACCTCTGCCTCTATATTTATATTGTAAACAAATGGTTATATTTACATCCACTGAATATTATCTCCTTTATTTCTTACATAAAAACCACAGTCGTTTATCAATATTTTAACACAGCTAAGCAAGCCACCTGTATAGATTTCTTGAGCAGTGGCTCTTCCATCAATTAAATATACAATAACATACATATATCAGTTACACAATATTTATTTAATTATTTAATTATTTATAGACATAAATATAAACAATAAAATGTCTTTTTGTTAGTATGGGAATTAATGTTGCAGCTACAGTGGGGTGTCTAGTTATTACCATGTTCATTTTGTCACAGTAAAATATCGTAATACCGAGGGCAACATACTAAAAGTTCCCAATAAAATCCATTAAAACAGCATTTGGAAATTAATGTTATCCATGAATGGGGTGTATTTTCCCATTCTGTTTTCTTCTTCCATTTCAGGTTATACATATTTCCCAGTTTAAACACTTTGACACTTTTATTGATAACTTAACTTGTATATATGTACATGTATATTTTTTCATGCTGTTCAATTTTTTATCCTTCATTTCTAATGTAGTATCCATATTTTGTAGTAAACTTCGGCAATGTGCATTGATTTGACATTCCCGCCATTTTCTTTCATTTTTCAAATAAATGTCATAACAGTACTTCAATAATGTGCTTGTAAAAATTTTACTGGAAAAAGGTTTCGAATAAAGTTTGAAACATATGTTTTAGTTAATAGACAACAACAAAAAACATCCATTTTTATTTATTTTTTAATTAGATTTATTTTAAATAAAAAGAACAAACTTCAATTCACTCAGATCAAACTTCAAAGTCAAGGTATAAGTCCAAAATAGTGGTACCCAAAGAGAGTTCATATCACATGGAATAGACATTTGAACTATGAAAGCCACAGCACCAAGATCTAACTCTAAGGTCAAGGTCATGAGGTCAAAAATGTTGGTACCCAATGAAAGGTAATGTCAAGAGGAATACATATGTGAAATATGAAAGCCCAACACCAACTGTTCAGAAATTATGGCCAAGGATAAAGTTTTACAAAAATAGGTCAAACTTTTGGTCATGGTCATGAAATGTAGGTACCCATGGAAAGGTCTTGTCACAAGGAATATACATTTTTGAGTATTCTATGGCTTTAAAGCAGAGAATTATGTTACTTTCTGATCTACTCCAAATTTAAAGCTTGCAGTACATCATGTGTTTGAAATTTTTCCTCTTTTGCAATTTTTGGACGGGCTTTGAAAAAAAAATATTTTCCTTTTAAGTTATAATGGTAAAATTCAATATATATCTGTGAGGAAAAGTGCATAATATAAAAATTTATTTTTCTGCACATGCAATGCAGTCATTTTTAAAATGTTCACATTATTTACATAAGCCATGTCTGCTTTTTTACATTAAATCTAACTACAGTAAATGGCCATCACACTATTTCACTATATATTTCATTGAAAAATGTTTGGGTTTTTTTTAAAAAGAAGTTGTGACATTAATTTTTGCCCAATTTCAATGATTTTTTTTCCCCAGTTAATTGTGCAGTATTGTTCAACTTTCCTTTACAGATAAAATTGTTTAAAATTATGTGAAGAAACTGCAGAATATCTTGCATTTTATGATGTTACATATATACAGAATGAGTTACAAATAACACTGCAATATTAAATTTTCAAAAGGCATTGTTGATATTCATTTTTCAATGAAATAAATATAAAATTATGCATCACTTTTGCAAGGTACAGTACTCTATAACATAAATCAAGCTTTCTATTCATAAAAAAAGTTAAACTTTTAGTTCACCTATGCCAGTACCTCTCACATAGATAAAATTAAAAAAAAAACTATTACAATTAGCCAATTAAATGTCCCCTGTGGCAATAACATAGTGTCAGACAACTTAGCCTATTTTTGGATACTATTATACTCCCAGCAATAATTATATTTTGGAGGAAAAGACGCCCCTTTCATGTTACTGGATAGGAAATGAAGATTCAGCTAAATTTTTGATTTTATGTTCCTTCAATACTTTATTCCTTATCAACTAATTTTTTATTT